AAAGGTGCCACTGGATTGTTTTGGACTGGGGGGCCGGGGGGGGGGGCTCTGCAACTTACCTGGCTGCTTCTTGCTCTGACTGAGGGCTGCTGGGAGCAGGGGGTGGGGCTTGGTGCATATGCCCACCTCCTGGGCTCTTTACTGCCGGAGTTCTGCTCCTGTGCGATCCTGCAGGAAATGACCCCTGGCTCTCCTTCTTTGGACGTTTTCAGACAGAGCCTAGAAGGCCATCTGACAGCAATGCAGATTCTGTCAACTGAGGCAGATCATGAGAGGGAGGGCAGGAAGGGTTGCCTCAGTGCTTAGTTCTTGTGGCCCTTTCTTACACGCCCAGGGAAATGCTAATCACCACTTTGGAGTCAGAAGGCAATTTTTCTGCAGGCCAGTTTGGCTGGAAATCCTGGAGGTTTTTTCCCCCATCTTCTGGGCATAAAACAGGTGTCACTGGGTGTATGTGTGTGGGACGCATTCATGAATTTCCTGCCTTGTGCTGGGAGTTGGACTAGATGACCCTTCAAACTCTGTGATTCTATGATTCTATATCTGAAGGATTCTCAACATGGAAGAGGGCAAAAACTTGGTTCTCTGATGTTCTAGAGGGCAAGATTAGAACGTGGGCTTCAGTTACAGGAGGGTAGATGTCACCTGAAAAGAAACTTCTTAATGATGACAGTAGTCCAGCAATGGGACCAATTACTTCAGGAGTCTGAAGAGCTCATTGGAGGTCCTGGAGCAGCGGCTGGACAGCCATCAGTCAGGGATGCTCTAGCTTTGATTTCCCCGTATTAAGTACAGAGTGGATGGTCTATAGGGCCTCTTGGAACTCTATGATTCTAAGTCAGACATTTCGTGTTGCTATAGATCTTAAAATGAATGTCCTATTTCTCAACACCTCAAGATGGGTCACGCACACACCTTTGGGCGAACACATGAATCTCCCTTGTACTGAATTAGACCATTGATCTATCAAGTTAAGTATCGTCTACTCAGAGTGGCAGTGGCTCTCCAGGGTCTCAGGCAGAGGTCTTTTGCATCACCGACTGCCTGGCCCTTTTAACTGGAGATGCCGGAGATTGAACCTGGGACCTTCTGCATGCCAAGCAGATACTCTACCACCAGGGCTCTTTTTGTAGAAAGAGCACAGCAGGAGCTCATTACCATAATAGGCCACACCCAACAACAGGAACTTATTAGCATATTAGGCCACACCACGACAGCACAGCTCATTAGCACATTAGGCCACACCCCCATGTTACCAGAAGTGTGGTTATCAAGCCACACCCACTTTTTGCTTGTTATTCTGTTTACCTTGTTTGTTGTCAAAACCCAGGGTTGTTTTTTTTTTGTAGCAGGAACTCCTTTGCATGTTAGGCCACACACCCCTAATGTAGCCAATCCTAATGAGTTTCTGTTGTTGGGTGTGGCCTATTATGCTAATGAGTTCCTGCTGGGCGTGGCCAACTCGGGAGCCAGCCGGAACTCCGTTCCTGTGCGTTCCTGCCCAAAAATAGCCCTGTCTACCACTGAGCCACGGCCCTTCCCCTGAAATCTATGAAGATGAGAAGAAGTAAGCACCAGTGTCCACACCATTGCAAGGGTGTGAGAGCAAGGAAGGGCAGCTGGGAACATATTCGTTGCCTCGCTCAGGCCACTGTGCCTATTCCTAACTATGCACTTAATAGAAGCGCTCACTTGAAAGGGCATGAAGAACACTGAAGGGGAAAACTAAATTTACAAACATGCATGTCGTGCGCATGGACTACTCTAGGAGCCAGGATTGCCCTGTGGCTCCCAGTCTAGTCTACTTTCAGTGGCAATGCAGGACTCAGCTCATAAAGTCTTCTTACATGCCCACGGAAATGCTGATCACCATTTTGGGGTCAGGAAGACATTTTTCTCCAGGCCAGTTTGGCCAGGGATCCCGGGGTGGGGGGTGTTGCTCTCTTCTGGGCATACAGCAGGGGTCACGGGGAGTGGGGGGGAGGCGTTTGTAAATTCCCTGCATTGTGCAGGGGGTTGGACTAGATGACCCTGGAGGCGCCTTCCAACTCTATGATTCTAAAGGAGGTCACTGTTGTCAGGGAAATTTTGGCAGTTAAGCCCTAGAAGATTGGAGCACTCTTCAAAATGCACAGGATGATATGGGTGGTGAGCATTTGAAATCATCGTTTCAAATATTTGCAACAAATGAAATGTCGACTCTCTGCTAGGGAACAACAAACGTTCCCTTGTCTTGTTTCTTGTGTATACGTTTATATTTTTTCCCCTTGGTTTCAGTTCTCTGCTTTTCACAGTTATTTTGTATATGTGTTTATATTATGCATGCATGTCGTTTTGGGACACGAGCGCATAGTATTTATACCCGCCCTGCCTCATTGATGCACATACCATTTGTACAATGTACGGTGCTGGTTTTCAAACGTGCGGATAACACTTAAAATGCATGGGGTTTTTTTAGTGATAAATTGGGTGTGAAGAAACAGAAAACAGCATGTAAAGAAAGAAAATCACAGCTCAGTTTACACAAGGCAAAAATGAAATCAAAGCGAAAATTGGGGGGGGGGGCTAGACTTCATGATCTTATGCATGCCATCTCTGTCTAAAGCTAGAACTGCACAGCTGGAAAGGATCCATTCCATAATTTAGGGTTGCCAGGTCACCCCTGGCCACTAACGGGGGATGTGGGGTAGGGTTGCCGGATCCAGGTTGAGAAACTCCTGGAGATTTGGGGGTGGAGCCTGGGGAGGACAGGGAACCTCAGTGGGGCACAATGCCATGGAGTCCACCCTCCAAAGCATCCATTTTCTCCAGGGGAACTGCTCTCCGTAGCCTGGAGATGAGCTATAATTCCAAGGAATCCCCAGGTCCCACCTGGAGGCTGGCATCCCTGCCATCCTACCATACGGCCAAGGTATCCTAGACCTAGGGCTGCAGCAGCTCAGTGGTTAAGACGCTGAACTGCAGGCCAGAAGGTCGTTCGTTCAGCAGTTCGAGACCCGAGTTGCCGCATGATGGAGTGAGCTCCCGTCTCTGGTCCCAGCCCCTGTCAACCGAACAGTTCAAAAGCAAGAAATTGCAAGTAGATAAATAGGTACCGCTTCAGTGGGAAGGTAACAGCGTTTTGTGCACTGCAGTGTTTAGTTGTGCTGGCCATATGACCATGGAAATGTCTTCGGACAGCGTTGGCTCTTCGGCTTGGAAACGGAGATGAGCACCGCACCCTAGAGTCGGATTCGACTGGCTTTCGAGCAAGGGAAACCTTTACCTTACCCTAGACATAATGCATTCTAAACAGATGTCCATGCAGCATTTTCTTTAAACTAACAGTGAACGTAACTTTAGGGGCTCCTAAGCAGATAAATCCTGCAGTTAAAATCTTGTGCCTGATATTGGCTACAAAATGTTCAGGGCAAGAGCCACTGTCTATCCAAACTGGGAATCTATACATCTTCCCAAACAGAATTAAAAACTCTCTAGGCAGCAGCAGAGGCTGATGATATAGGAACTACAAGACCCATGACACAGTGCAAGTGGGGTTGCCAGGCGTCATCACCTCACCACTGTTGCCCACCACCACTCTGAGCCACGGCAGGAGGGAAATAAGAGCCCTGCTAGCCTCTGAGCTGATATGTCACTTCTGGGTACAACAACAGGTTGCTCTAGGAATTGCTGTAACTCTGTGGTTTTTCCCAGATCTCTTCCAAGAGCTACCCGTTGTCACTTCCACGTTGTACTCTGAAGTGATATAGTGACATCAGTGACATCAGTGACATCGCATGCCCCCCATGTCCCCATCCACTAACCCTCCTGCTGCTTGGAAAGCTCAGACTGGCAACCCTGAGTGCGATTCACAGGATCAGACTTTACACCGGCTGCCTTCATAGCTGTGTTGTACACTTTGCCAAATGATTCTTCCGCAGTAGGAAGTGGGAAACTTGCATCTGTGTCAGCGACCACTAGGTAATGTTCGGTGTAGTGGTTAGGAGCGCGGACTCTAATCTGGGAGAACCGGGTTTGATTCCCCATACCTCCTCATGCAGCTGCTGGTGTGCCGTTGGATCAGTCACAGGTTCTCTCAGAGCTGTTCTCTCACAAGCAGTTCTCGGAGGAGCGCTCTCAGCCCCACCTACCTCAAAGGGTTTCTGTTGAGGGGAGGGGGAGGGAAAGGAGATTGTAAACTGCACTGAGACTCCTTCGGGTAGTGAAGGGTGGTGTATAAATCCAATCTCTTCTTCTTCTTCTGTCATGGACCAGTGACATCAGGAAAAACCTAGATCCAATATTTATCTTACCGCCTTTCTACCTACCCTTCTTCCAAGGGATTCAGGTTATCGTTCTCTTCATCCTCACAACAATCCTGTAAAATAGGTTAGACTGAGAGAGAATAATTGGGCTCAGGTGAGGCCCCTAGCAGAGTGGGGATTGATGAATGCTGCCCTACGCACACCTGAGGAAAAAATGTGTCTTGCTAATCCCCACACCGCCATAAAGTTCATACGGGGACCAATTGCTCTCTCTCAGCCTTGCCTAGCGCACAAGGCTGTTGTGAGGATAAAATGAATAAGGAAGAAACATGTATGCCACTCTGAGCTCCTGTGAGAAGAAGAAGAGAAGAGATTGGATTTATACCCCGCCTTTCACTACCTGAAGGAGTCTCTGAGCGGCTTAAAATCTCCTTTCCCTTCCCCTCCCCACAATGGACACCCTGTGAGGCAGGTGGGGCTGAGAGAGCTCTTTTGAGCACTGCTCGTGAGATAACAGCTCTGAGAGAACATGTGACTTACCCAAGGTCACTCCAGCAGCTGCATGAGGAAGGTTAGGATAAAAAAATGTAATTGATGGATAGTGAATGAACTGGTCTTTCAGAAGTCACCAGAGATGAAGTCCTGTTTCTCCTCAAAGAAGCTCGTTTGTTGGTTATCCCTGGGAGGTGGGCTGTGGCTTAGTGGTAGAGCATTGTGTTGACGTGCAGAAGGTCCCAGGTTCAATCCCTGGCATCTCCAGCTAAAAGGATCCGGTAGGAGGTGATGTGAAAGACCTCCGCCTGAGACCCTGGAGAGCCACTTCCAGTCTGAGTGGACAACACTGACCTTGTTGGGGAGATGGTCTGATTCAGTATAAGGCAGCTTCCTGTGTTTGAGTGTTAACTTTCAGTCTTTAGGAGGCATTTGAAGATGGTTTCCATTTAGGATTGCATTTGATTAACTTACCAGCAGTCCTAAACTGTGATTTTCAGGTTTGGGTTTTATGTACTTTATTTTGCATGTTTTATCTATGTTCTAAGTTGCCTCGGGCTCCAGAAGGAAGAATCATAGAGCTGAGAGGGACCTCTAGGGTCATCTAGTCCAACCCCCTGCACAATGCAGGGAATTCACAAATACCTCCCCCCACACCCACAGTGACCCCTGCTCCATGCCCAGAAGATGACAAGACATCTCCAGGATCCCCGGCCAAACTGGCCTGGAGAAAAAACTGCTTGCTGACCCCGAAGTGGTGATCTGCATTTCCCTGGGCATGTAAGAAAGGGCCATGTGCCCCCTAGGAAGGCGGCTAATGAATGTTTTAAACAATAAATAAGTAAACACTACAAAGAGCTACAAAGAGAAACAATCCTGAATGTAATGCAAAGTCCCATTTGAAAGAACACGTCTTCTAACTGCTCAGAAGGTCAGTTCCTGCTCCAAAACTGATTATTTTCCCCCCCCCTTCTTTCCCTTTCCCCTTTCTTCCCCCGACTGTCTAGGAAGTGCGGGAGTCTCGGAATCTCGAATTTACCGGGAATCCAGAGGACGTGGGAGCAACGAGCCCCACATCAAGCGCCCTATGAACGCCTTTATGGTGTGGGCGAAAGACGAACGGCGGAAAATCCTGCAAGCCTTCCCTGACATGCACAACTCCAACATCAGCAAAATACTGGGTAAGGAAAAGGGAGCGGGAGGCATGGGGCTCTGGTTATTGAGTGACGGTGTTTGGACTGCTCGATTCGTGCCCCGTAGCAATGTTGAGAGAACAGCTCTGAGAGAACTTGTGACTGGCCCAAAGTCACCCAGCTGGCTTCACGTGGAGGAGTGGAGAATCAAACCCAGTTCTTCCAAAGCAGTGCTCCCTCTAAGCTGAGCTAGTGTGAGCTAACTCACAGTCTTTGAGCCTCCGGCTCACACATTTTGGTGTCTTAGCTCAGGAAGGAGGGCTCCAGAGCAAGCTAATTTACGCAGCAGCCGAATCACTCGCTCACAACTTTGATGCTGGTAGCTCACCAAGTAGAATTTTTGCTCACAAGACTCCACAGTTTAGAGCAGGGGTGTCAAACATAAAGCCCAGGGACCGGATCCGGCCCGTGCAGGGCTCTTACGCGGCCCGCGAACAACTGATGCAAGGGAGGGAGTGTTGGGAGAGGGAGTGGGCAGAGCCACTCCATTATGGCTTCAGCACAGCAGAACAACCTCGCCTGCAGCAGTCAAGCAGTGTGGGAGCATCTGCCCAGCACTGCACTGCTGCCTTTCCGGTCCGCCTATGTGGGTTTTCCTCTGCATCCCCCTCCCAGCCTGTGGGGCCTTGCAGTGAGGACCAGGGCTCATTTCCTGCAGGAGCGCACAGGAGCGGAGCTGCGGCAGTAAAGAGCCGAGGGGGCGGGCACATGCAACAAGCCCCGCCCCCTGCTCCCAGCAGCCCTCAGTCAGATCAAGAAGCAGCCAGGTAAGTTGCAGAGGCCCCTGCCCCCAGCCCAAACCAGTCCAGTGGCACCTTTAAGACCAAGTTTTATTCAGGTACAAGCTCTCCCTCCTCTGCGAGGACAGATCTGCACGTTCCCCCCCCCCCAATAGCTAGCAATCCAAAACAGTCCAGTGGAGCCTGAGCGGTGGGTGTTGCCTTCTGACACACTTCCGGTGACGCCAGGGGGTGTGGCATATGCAAATAAGTCATGCTAATGAGTTATGCTAATGAGCTCCTGCACCTCTCTTTCTACGAAAGGACCCCTGGTGAGGACACACCAACTCAGAGCTTGCCAGCTGTTGTCCTTTATACAGTTTCTATCTCCAGTACCTTGCATTATGTTTTATGGCACACATGGCCCGGCCCAACAGAGCGACGTTTACGTCAGATCCGGCCCTCGCAACAAATGAGTTCGACAGCCCTGGTTTAGAGGGAGCATTGCTCCAGAGCATCTCTTTTCTCTGTAGTCTGGAGATGAGCTGCAATTCCACGGGGATCCTCGGGCCTCACCTGGACGCTGGCACCCCTCGGCACCCCCACCACCACCGTCTGAAACAGGACAGAATCCAGCCCCCTCCCTCTGCCATCCCATTCTAGGCCCCACGCATAGTATAGCTCAGCCTGACTTAACGAAACTCAGCCACCGCAGAGATGCCTTTAAGGGCCGGATTTGTGCCTGCTATTGATTTCCTATTGTGCCGAGACGCAGCGAGATCCATGTATTACCTACCCAGGCAGGTAGGATGGCTTTAACAGCAGCCCCTGAATTGATTAGATTAGCCAGAATAAAGTGAGATAAAGAAGCCTGCGTTTGTTCCGGTGATGATAAAAAAAAAAAAAATCCACACTGACAGATTTAAGGCCAGTTTCTGTCGATGAGATTAGGCAGGCCTTGAGACGCAAGAAGTTTGGCTCCGTCGTGGGATTGAAAGTGGCCCTTGATTAAACTTTGCCTTTAAGTCATCATCTTCCAAAAACTGGCCCGATCCCTGCAATCCCCCCCCTCCAAGCACACACGCACACCTGACGCCTCTTCATACAGAGAGTACAAAGAACCCTCGACCGTGTTTCTCCCCGTCTCCCCTGATTGTTTTGGATAACAACGCTCCAACGGCACAGCACACCACTAATTCATTCCGCTTAAAATAGGCGCTTGAGCCGGGCTGACATTTCGCTCGGTCTCTGGGGGACCAGCGTTGACATTTTAAAGGGCTTCTAAGCATTTTATAATACCCTCCAAATCTGGTTTTAATAAGTCATTTCGGCTGAGATTTTTAACATAAGGAATCACCTTTTACTGTTTAGCGCTAGACGGGACAGTGGTGGCTTGGGGGGGGGGAGTGGCGGACGGCTAGCATATTAGGGGCATCTTTTTCGGATTAAATATACAGTAGGTGGAGTGTGACGTGCAAATCCATTCCAGATCCTCGCAGAGATGACAGTCTTATTCTGCTCCCCCAACGCCACTGCAATAGCGGCAAAATTCAAATTGCGACTGATAGTGGGTTTTTTTCTCTTTGAAACATCAGACGAATTGGGAGGGAGTTTCTTTCCAGCCCATGCAATAAAGAAGGGTGAGGCACTCTCCTCTTTCCTGATGGAAATATTGCAGAGGTCTCTTCCGAGTTGTCAAAGGCCAGTTTTTGAACTCAGCAGGGAGGCCTCTGTTAATCGGGGAAGGAGAAAAGAGCAGATGCTTACAGAGTAATGAAGGAGGAGGAGGAGATTGGATTTATATCCCGCCCTTCACTTGGAGTCTCATAGTGGTTTACAATCTCCTTTATTTATTTATTTATTTATTCAAATTTATACCCCTCCCTCCCTGCCGAAGCATGCTCAGGGCGGCTTACGTGAAGATAAAACACACAAATAACAGTTATACAGTCATAAAACCTTCTAAAACAATACAAAATTATAATATTATAATATAAAGTACTAGCAGGGTCTATAGCCAATATCGCTTAAAATGATGGTGACAGTAATATAAACATATCCGGTGATCTGTCTTGTTGGTCAGCTCATTGGTCTTTCCATACATACGCAGCAAGCACACACTGTAGATGGCGAGACCAGGTACTACATCTTCAGGGCTTTAGTCCTTCCAGTTATTGTTGATGGTTGTTGTTGGCGGTGGCTTCTTAACTGAAAGCCTGGTGGAAGAGCTCCGTCTTGCAGGCCCTGCAGAACTGTAAAAGGTCCCGCAGGTCCCTGGTCTCTTCTGGGAGCTCATTCCACCAGTACAGAGCCGTCACCAAAAAAGCCCCGGCCCTGGTTAAAGCCAGTCTGGCATCTTTGGGGCTCGGGAGGGCCCTTTCCCTCCCCCTCCCCATAACAGACACCCTGTTAGGTAGGTGGGGCTGAGAGAGCTCTTTCGAGAACTGCTCTTAAGAGAGCAGCTCTATAGGTACTTATGACTGACCCAAGGTCATCCAGCAGCTGCGAGTGGAGGTGTGGGGAATCAAACCCAGTTCTCCCAGATTAGAGACCGCGCACTTAGCCCCTACACTGGACTGGTGGTATTTGTGTCCCTTTGCAAGACAAGTACGGTTGCCCTCATTTCCCATTTACCCTTCTTTACTTTCATCACGCACTCACTCTTTCTTTTTCATCCTTCCTCCCAACATCCTTCCTTTTCTTTCTTTCTGTCTGTCTGTCATTGCATTGAGGGTCGGATGTCTGAAATGTCATTGACTGCAGGCCAAATGAGGTTATTGTTCAAGTGTCCGTGTGTGCCGTTTTGGTCAGCGCAATCAGAAGAGTGTCCTTTCCAGGGCTGCTGATTCTCTGGGGATTAGATTCTGACACTTTGGTCTTACGCTGTGAGCATTAAAGCAAATTTTAGAAAGTGCCAGTGCATGGATTTGTTAGCAGAGTCATCTGCGCACACGTTTATCATCCATCTGTTCATTGCTACGTAAACTCATGTCGCTGGATTTATTCATTTGTTTCTTTCCACACATACGCACACACAGACTTGCGAAGAAGCCTTGGGTTGTTTCTCCCACACAAACACACACACCAAAGGCACTTGAATCTCTCCATTTGTTTTCCCTCTTGTTGAAAGATTTTCTTGGCATAACTTGTAGTTCGTTAAAGAGACAGAAACAGACCTTCCGTATCCAGAGTATCTTCTTCGTGGTCTCTGTGCATCACACCCTTGGGATACTCTGCGCCTGCGCTGACCTTCTCGGTACCGATAGCTAGCAAAAGGGATTTTCGCGCCTCTCCCAGGTCACGCGCCGGCTCCACTGCGCATGACCAAGGAGGGGCACGCAGATCCCGCCAGTTCCTTCTGACCGCCGCCCAACAGCCTTCAAAGAAACAAGATGAAGGGCCGAGAGCAGAGGGGAAGGAGGGCGGGTGGTGTGAATGCACAGATGACCACTCGAAGATCACCAGTTACAGGTAAGCAACCTGTCTTTTTGATAAGAAAGAGGGGAGATGTATGAGAGAGGGGAGTTTTAGCGTTGAGAAATGCCCTGTGGGTGGAAATTGCGCCCCCTGCAGGAGGAGTCTGCCCAACGGCTGTGACGTTGACTGTTCATTTAATCCAAAGAACCGTGAGCAGTGGAGTGCTATTCTACACCTATATGCTGTTCAATACATATGCAGATATGTGCCATTCTGCACATATTTGCCCGGCAGCTGCACAGTTATTCGTGCAGTGCCATTATGGGCTAAGGGTTAGATCCAGCCTACTGTGGAAAAGAAAGGAGAGGTGTCCTGTGTTCACCGAAAAGATTATGCTGGGCCCTGCATGTACCAAAAAAGAAAATGTGGGACAAGGACCATAGTACAGGGTAAGACTGAGTGGAAAAACTGGCTGGATCCAACCCTAATTATGGGCCTGGAGGTCTCCCAGAATTAGAACTGATCTACAGGTGACAGAGGTCAGTTCCCCTGAAGATAACGGTTCCTTTGCAAGTGAATTCTGTGGCATTATACCCTGCTGAGGTCCCTCCCCTCCCAAATCATGCCACCCCATGATATACCTCCAAGAATCCCCCAAGCTAGAGTTGACAGCCCTGTTTCTGTGTATACTCCTGGCCTTCCCCATTACCTGTTACAAAAAGACGAAGTAAAGTCAATGTGTTGGATCCACTGGAATAAAACATCTGCCATTGAATCACAGAACGTTAGAGTTGGAAGGGACCTTGCAGGTCATCTAATCCAACCCCCTGCACTCTGCAGGAGCGTAGCCGA